AAAGGATATGTGGATTTAAAAGTAGAGAACCTTTTTGCAGGAGCTCGTTGTTAAAGCTACAGCCTCGTCACCATCTTGTTTCCTGTCCCTGATCTTTCATGTATTTGTTCTGTGATTCAGACCTTATTCATTCTCCTTCTGTGAGCAAGCCACCTTAATGGTCACTCACTTTTGTGTTCAATTTATGTTCATTCAGTACCCAACTTTTCTTTAATATAAAGGAGAACAGTCAAGTGAGGCTAAGGATTTATAAATTGTATTCAATTTTTATTGAAATATACAGTGATCATGATGAGCTAATGAGACAAAATAAATTTTTAAAAGATTCTAAATATATATTTACATGGTACGCTGCAGTTATCACCATTTAAATAATGCAAGACACCTTAAAAAGTAATATTAAATATTTCAGTTTTATTATCCTATAACTAATACTGGGATGTTTATGGAGTCTGGTAATAGTTTGGCTTCAATCCTACCTCTTCTTAAATCAGAATAGTTGGTAGGTGTTCCAGCAAAATTTCATAGGACACTTATACTGTATACGTGTAAAGAATGTCACATCAAATCAGGATAAGTTTGAAAATTTTGAAGTGAAACTCTGTAACATTTTGAGTTTATTTTGATATAATTTTAGTTCTTAAAATTCCATAAACTGCCCACATGGTTGATCATTTTTTATAGTTGGTACTCTAGATCATTTGAAGTGACCCTTGAACAATTTTAAGTAACTTAGTTATTTAGCTATTTTAAATTAATTGAAATTTCTTTGCAAAATCATATAATTTAGGATTTCCCTTTAAGATAGCATGTTATCAAAGGACATACTCATTTATTTCAAAACTTTAATAAAATTGAAAATTGAAATATACTAATAGCATATGTGTTAGATTGCTGACTGTATTTGAAAGAAGCATATTTTATTAAAGGAATTTTTTTTGTGTGTTTTAAGATGATTGCCAGAGGGAAAAATGCATCGGAATTGTTTCCTGCAGTAGTGAAGAATGTAGCAAGTAAAAGTATTGAGGTATGGTGACAAAATAAAAACACTTATTTTTCTTTTACTTCTAAGAGAATCTTTTAAAACTTGAAAGCCCTTTCCATGAAATTGTATCTTTGAATTAGAGGTAATTATAGTAACATTTCAGTGAAACACGCGTAGAATTAATAACTCTTCTATGATAGGAAACGGGTGATATTCTTATATCACAGAATATAGGATGTCATGAACCAACTTAGGGCCTTTTTCCTAGGCCATAATAGGACCTAGTTCATGTCTGTTGTCCTTGCTCAGTGTATTTATTGGGGATGACTTTGCCCTTAATAGAAATTCCTGTTACTTGTTACCCTTGCTAAGCTGTAAATGTTAAGGACAGCTCTGTCCTTATTAATTGCTAATATTTGACATGACTGAGCAACTGCTTATTGTTTGGTAAAGATATATCTGTCTCCATTAGAAGTCTTTGGTGCAAATAGTTTTGCCCCCACCAGGGTACATCTGGCTAGGTTAGTCCTGCCCATCATAAGTGAAATAATAAAAAGTTAAGTCTTGAACCAGAAGCCTGAATTTTTCCAGGAGGATCAGAGGTGAATACAATGCTGTAATTTTTTTTGGGGGGGGGGGTGCCTTTGAGTCAGTGTTGACTCCTGGCAACTGCCTGGACAAGTCCCTGCAGTTTTCTTGGCAAGTGGTTTCAGAAGTGGTTTGCCCTTGCCTCCTTCCCAGGGCTGAGAGAATGACTGGCCCAAGGTCACCCAGCTGGCTTTGTACCTAAGGTGTGACTAGAACTCATGGTCTCCTGGTTTGTAGCCTGATGCTTTAACCACTACATCAAACTGGCTCTCATAATGCTGTAATTACTCATGAGTATTTGTCACAGTAGAAGTAGGAAGTGTAAATTGAATAAATAAATTAAATAATGGTTCAGGCAGTATTTTTAACTATGTTTATTAGGGTCAATTTGGTATATGTTCTCATATTTTATTTGTTTACAAACTATTGCTCATATTTTATAGTAATTGAAAATTTTCAAATTAAAAACTCTGAATTATGTTGATACAATTCACAGTGTATTTCTTCTGTGTTCTCAGACTTTTTTTATAAAGGTGCTGGTTGCAACATATCAGACTTAAAGCAGGTTCACAGAGAAAACATCTCTACTAGCTTTAATAGCACACTTGGATTTTCTTTACCTTTATCAATAGGTAGAGGATAAAGGGATCAGTCTTAGAGGAAGATAAAGAGACTTGAGCATGTCTGGCTGGTGTCTATACAGCATTAAGTAAAGGCACTATCCTGAGAGGTAAATTGATTTGACATTGCCGTTTTAGGCAGAATTAGTTGTTCCAGAGGCTCTAAATATAGACTATTATGACTTCTGTGTTTACTTAACTTGTATTATAATATCCTCTCTTCCATTGCTTCTTTCTTCCAGCTGCTTTTATATCATACATATCAATAAGCTAGGAACACTCAACTTTTTTTTGAAACCAAGGATGCTCTTTGCTGTTATTAATTGCTATGCTTGATTTAATTTACAATGTTTAAATATATGGGAAGTGATTTTATTAAATAAGCTAATAAAATCATTCCCAAATATTTAAAGATTTTTCCTTCTGCACATCAGTGGCAACTTTGTGTAGGCTTCATGGAGCTCTGCAGTAAACCATAACATGTGTATTTGGTGACACCAAAACAAGCGGCCACTCAGTAACCCCCCCATCCCCCCCCAGATCTCTATAAATACCCACAAAAGGGTCACATCACCCTGGGCACAGAGAGA